TCTAGACTTATATAAGTACTTTAAGTACCTATGGGCATGTATTCACTAAGACCTTACTAAAACTGACCACTGGTCCTAGGACCGACTGAACCTGACACTCCATACCACTAAATGTAATACCCTAAACCCAGATGGGCCTAAAGTATCACATTGGGTTACCGAGATAACCCCTGAATTTCAAAACCTGTTTATTTTCATTTCAAACGTGTTGAATGGTATCATAAAAGATGTAAATAATAGTTATAAAATATTTTATAAATTGGAGCTCCATGACACATAATTTAAAATCAAAATAGAAAAAACTCAGAGTTGATAAACCAAATACATGATTAAGGTACTATGAATACACATATGTCCACTAAAACTACAGTGCATTACTTTAAAGGAGATACTATAAGTCCTACATACGGTGCTCCACGAACGGCTCTAGCTACTAACCTGTGAATGGAAAACATCCAAACATTAAGCTTACAAAGCTCAACAGTATAATCGTTAATCTATACCAACATTAAGAGTCTCATAAATATAAGAATGCTAAAGACATGGTACTAAGCAGTAAGTACATGCATGATCTTAATCATGTACTACCTACTTAAAATTCAAATATTTTATCGCTAAAGTAGGAGTCTCACGCTTCCCTTAATCCTCTACTAAGGACCTTGCATGAGAACACCTCTAAAGGGTCTCTAACCATGATTGTAACTGCTACGTATTATCTAAATACGACACTAATATTCATGTGTATTATCTGAATACAACAACATTGACTCTGTTGTGCATTATCTAAATGTCACACTGGCTAGTATATGGTCCCACACAGCCATTAGGTACTACTTAACTGAGAAAACCGATGTCGTATAGCATCTGTGAAATTCTCACTAAGCAGCTGAATGATCTACTGGTCCTCACATTGCCATCAGGTAGATCATGGAGGGGGAACTCGATGTCATATAACATCGGTATAATTCCTTCTCAACTGAAGCATTGGCTCGGTCTCACACAACTGTCAAACCAAGCTCTAAGGGTATTTATTTTACTGGACTGATGCAACTATACATGCATATCTAAAGGCCCAAAGGCCACACAACACTGACATCGCTAACCCACTCCTCGTGAATGTTCGAGCCTCAAGCCCTAGTTAGCCACTGAAATGCCTCACGCGCTGACAATACCCCACTAAGGCAACTAAGGTAGTTTGAATACACTCTAGCATAGCTATACACACTAAAGTGAGGTCACTCTCTCACTAGTTGCTATCTCACTCATTCTTTTATCTAGAACGTTATGCGGGGGTTTATTAATATGTTACTATTGTTAATTTATTAAGTTGCTATATTCTGGTCATTTGTTACTTAAAGATGTTTTAGTCGTTCTCTGTCTCTAAAGGAGTCCCTACATGTTTCGTGATTTTACGATGGTTACTTTGTTTGTTGTTCACTAGCTGTGATACTTGCTAGTCTGATAACTGACTCGGGTTCATTACTGGGTAGCAACACTCTAATCCTCTTACTATTTTTCCCTCAATTCACCCTCGAATTGAAGGGACAATTGTATGTTTACCATTCGCTGACATTCTTGTTGTAAGCGAATCCGCTATTTTGTAATCTGGTTATTTCGTCATACTGCTTATTGGTACATCCTCAGTAACAATCCTTCATTCTTAGGTATTCGCTACGTGTTCAACTGAAGATACTTGGACGTATTACACCTACTATGATTACTCTGGTTGTAACCCGTTCGTACGAGTGTTTTAGGCCCTTTTGGCCATTTATGCAATTAAATAGACTTTTAAACAACTAATAACCTAAGTAAAAAAACACAAAATATAGCCTTTTATGGGGTTATCAATCCACCAAACAGATCTGCTGCATCTATTTCTTCTCCTAGTTGACAATCATTATCAATCGGAGACCTCACCTCCTCCAGGAACTCCCAATGACTGCTACCATCGATGAATGATTTGACACCATCATTAGTTGTAGTGCTTAGTTTGATTGGGGAAACTAGGCCATTAACAATAATATCAACTATATTAGGAATGATCGGTTCTTTCTGAACCAACAATAATACCCTTGCTTCGTCGAGCCTAATTCAATCTAGAGTCTCTTGGTCAATCTTTTGCGCAATACCCCATCTCTCTGCCAAGCTACGAAAGAACTTTTCGTTCAACACTTGAAGTGGCACGTCCTTCATCGCAACCCAAACCTTTATTTTTCTCTTGCCTTCATAGTCTATCAATCTTTCAAGCTCGTCAAACCAGACCTTGAGTAAATGGTTTCTCATTGCCCAACACCTTGATAGTTCCTTACCTCCTTGGAACTGAATCACAACAAGCAATTCATGCTATTGACATACTTCCACGTCATATCCGTCCGCTTTCAAGGCGTCCCATACTATCTCCGGATTGTACATTTCCTTTATCTTACCTACGAGATAATGTTTCTCCACTCTAAATCCGATTTCAATGTGTAGATTTGCGACGCTTCCAGGCCGGACTATTCCTTTTCTTTGTTTCGATATTCATCCATAAACTCAATCGAAATTGCGTTAGTGCATACGTTCTCGGTTTGGCTCATTAGACAAATCTAGGGGCGCCAATGAGGACGTCCTTAAACGACCTTGTGTTTTTGAACCTATACAATTAACCTATACTACTAACCTGCTAGCCTTGTTTTCTCCCTATACTACTAACGCTACTCTATATTCTGATTATTTTACCATTTGAACCTTTATAGGAATGTCATCGATGAGTCTCATGTTCCCTTTTTCCACTACGTATCTGGCTTCTGATATGTAGCGAAATCTCACAAAGGTGAAAGTGGACTTCTTTGAGATCCTTCTGGAGTTTTTGTATGCGATAAAGACATAAATGACTACTCCGTATGCTTCGAAGATTTCCTTTAGAGCAGGGTGGTGAACCCCTTTTTTTGATATTATACACGAATATGGTGAACCCTGATCTACGATGATCCCTCACATGTGACATGCCTCTTCGGTTCAACTTTACGATCCTTTGCGTTCCTCTTTGGAGTTTTATTACACCTCTTCATTTTTGTTGACTTCTCCTACATATCTAAACATTTGAATCATTAAACTTACGATTCATATCTGATTCAAAAAATTGAATATCCAAATTTTGAATAAAAAATCCAGATATCTGAACACGAACATAAAATTTAATTCGACAAAAAATTATATATAAATTTTACATTTTGTGACTTTATGCAACATAATATATATATATATATTATATGACACAATAAATAATTAAAATATCCCAATTTTTATTGGGCTAAACCTTTAATGGGCTAGTGGGTTACTAATTTATTAGGTTAAATATTATCTAAATTCCAAAGGCCTAGTTTTTATTAGACTTTTGGATAATTTTTATTAAAATTTAAGCTATTTGTATCCGATTCGATTATTTAATTTTTTCTCAAACAACTGATTCAAATTATTCGAAAATAAAAAATGAATCGAATACCCAAATTTTTGGATTTGATCAGAATTTTTTGTATACATATAAATAATACTATATATCAACAAAATATATTTTATTTAAAAATTATTTGATATAATAAAAATCGTACTTTTTCAGTATAGTTGATTAAATGAAAATTAAGCTCATCAGTTGGAACATAGAAACAGAATGTAGTTTGGACAAAGTTTGATTATCACAAGGGAGTATTGTTTGAGATAGAATCTTCATTTATAGAAAGGAAAAAAGAAAAAGAAGCAAAAGCAAATGTTCCATGCGTGGACTGCACGGATTTAAAAGGGGAACCGTCAAAAATGAACACATAAAGGTGTTCATAAAAGTCGGTAAAAAAAAATCCATAACATCACCCAAAGCGCACTGCATGTTAAAAACATAGACAGACAGAGCAACAGGCGATGTTCATCAAAATCAATGTCTATTTTTCAACCTGTTTGAGATTAAAACATTTATTTATTACTGTTAAACGATTAGGTTTTGTCACCACTTGGAAAAGACTGATGATATTGATTCCACTGAAAGATTAGGTTAAAAACAAACATAGACATGAATGCATGCACCCAACTTGAATGGTCAAAGTACATATTAATACAAATGCATTAGATAATGCAGTTTATTAGAAACATAGTGTAAATTTAGCATCTGATTAAGTTGTTATATCTAAAAATTTAATAAATGTAAACTTTTGTTTGTTGAAAACTATAATTAATCACTATAATAATTTATGAAAGTAACATAACAATTCACATATACTTAAAATTTCCGTATCCTTCAACTTATCCTTGTTCGGTTTTAAAATTTTCATAAATTACATACCGCCTCATATGTCACTTTCACGGTAGGTTTTGTCCTGTTAAAATAGATGCCAAATTGTTTGTTACATTATATGCAAAGTCTGCAATAAATTCAACGTTTCCAGTTTTCGTAAGGAAATTGGTTTCGCATTTCATTCATTGCTTTAAACAAACAAACAAAAATTCGAAAGAGAGCTGCTAAGTTACCAAAATTCATTAGCAGAGGGGTTCAATTTGCAACTATTATAGCTTAACTTAACTTTTATACATGAAGTCAGTCTTTACAGACAGATAAAAGAAACCCACCAACACTGAATCGGTCATGGTTTGAACCCAAACACCTTAAAAGATATAATCTTTCTTTTTTTGAACCAAAAATACATTTGAGATAGAAAATGTTACACATTTAATGAAACGAGTCGTAATCTCAAAACTGGCTCACTTCAATGTGATTCATTGGGACCACACTCTCCCATTTTATTCAATTTTCCTATGATAAAAATTAGCCTGACCCTTCAAGTTCAGAGATTTGGGAACATCTACTACACTGTTTAAAGACTTGAAAGAGAGGGAGAGAGAAGGGTCAAAAGCCACTGCTCTCCCAGATGTACTGACATTACTCTTTACTTAGATTTCCACTTTCCTTCTTCATATATCTCTTCCTACTCTCCTGTTTCTTAGGGCAAAACTTGAAAGAAAAAAAAAAGAAGGAAACTTCTTTTTCCTGCTCCACCATGGTGGTGTATGCTAATGCACTATTGGGGTTCCTGGCTTTTCTCTGTTTCCAGCTTCCTTTGATATTGGCAGGTTATGTTTCATTACTTTATTCTTTCTAAACCTCAGCTCTTTTTGTAAGCCTGTTATATCTTCCTTTTCCTTTTTTTTTTGGTAAAAGATGCTGTTTTGGATGTGGGTTAGAGTTGAATCCTGGAAAATGGGTTCTGGGTTTTTGAATCAGAAATTTTGGAATTTTGATTTGCATTCATATAAAAATGTGTGCTTTATAAGTTCATACATTGTTCTTTTTTATTATTGTGATTAGTACTTGAGTGTTAGTTACCTGCACTGTGTTCCCTGCAGTGTGGTTCAGATGATTTATGGGTATTTCTTTTGGCTTACTGATTAATGAACTTGAAGAAAATACCCTGTTCAATCCAGTATATATTCAATATCTGGGTTTAGCTTAACGGATACTTAGAGCTCTCTGTGCTAGGAATTAATGGCTTGCAGTGTTCGATTTTGCCGAGTACAAATTATGTGGCAATGTGATTCCAATAGTATAGCTTTGATTTCACATTGATTTAGACTTTTGAATAAGGGCAGTCGAAGAGTATGCTGTATTTTAGGTACTTTTATCTGGATTCAGTTAATTGAATAGGGTACTTTTCCTTTATAATAACCGGTAACTAGCAAATTTAACTATTGTACAAACACCGTCCGTCAAACATGTTTTTCTTGGTTGAGACACTCACATCTAATCAGTGGTCTTACTACTTCTGCAGATTGCCCCTTAGATTTGAGTGGATCAAATTTTACCCTTGTGTCTTCTTTATGCTCTAATAAAAATGAAAGAGGAAAGTGCTGCCGCTACATGAATGCTTTCGTTGCATTTTCTGTTGCTCGATATGCAAATGTGACGAGTGAACTAGGTGTTTCATCGGAATTGTCCAACATCTGCATCCAGTCCATATTGCAAACCATGGAACTACACGGAGTGCCACGGAATGCCGCCATTTTCTGCGGGTTTGGTACAAAAATTCCTGTTAGGTATGACTGCAGGGGGCGAACAACTGTGACACAGATGCTCGAGTCTCCAAAATTTACTGAAGTCACAGAGAACTGCAAACTGTCACTTTCGCAGGAAAATGATTGCCGAAAATGTTTAAATGCCGGCATTGTCTACCTTCATCATCTAGTTGGATCTGAAATTAATATGACATTGAGTACTTGCCGAGATGCAACATTTGCTGCACTAGCAAGCCAAGTTGACAACACTTCAGCTGCCGAATTCGCATCTTGCTTTTTCCAAGTTCAGGGATTTAATATCCCACCAGGTATGAATAGTTTCATATGAATCAGTGGTTTGATTTCATACAAGAACTGGGTGTAGGCATGATTAGAGCCAAGAAGCGTTATTGATGCATTCCCTTTTGGGTAATTGAAAATTTGAAATAGGTGGTCTAGAACAATCATAAACTAAAATTGAGTGCTTTTATCGGGATTGCTAATTAACATTGTAATTCTTTGGTGCCTTGCTCAAAAAAATTATAAAATATATGAATATGTTCTCTATGGCTTATTTTCGGTATGAAAGAACTTTTATGTACTCTGTTGAATCAGCTAGTAATTTGTTGCGATTTTGATGCTAGTTTCGGATTCATCTCCATCTCCACCTGCCCCGAAGGTTTCTCCTAGTCCATTGGTTGCTGCTAGTCCAAGTCAGCTCGTGTTGGGAGTACCTCAAAAACAAAACCGCCATACTTACCACCTAACAATTATTCCGGGCATTGGCATAGCAGTTACGGTAGCTGCTGTGATGATGCTTATAGTATTGATAGTTATGATTCGTAGGAAAAAGAGAGAGTTGGAAGATTCTGAGAGTGTGGATAAAAACTCTTCAAAGCTCTTTCCTTCTCCACGGCCCATGCGAAAATTTCAGGAAGGTTTGTTTGATATATCCTGTTCTCCATTGATAATGACAGGTTTTGAACATCATTTTTCAAAGGGCAGTTGTGTAATCTGATGGAGATTGGTGTTAAACTGCAGGTACTTCTTCGACGTTTCGAAAATATAGCTACAAGGAAACAAAAAAGGCAACTGAGAAGTTTAACACAGTCATTGGACACGGAGGGTTTGGGACGGTATACAGGGCTCAATTTTGCGATGGCTCTGTGATAGCTGTGAAGCAGATGGACAGGGTTTCAGAGCAGGCAGAAGATGAATTTTGCAGAGAAATAGAACTTCTTGCTCGACTACACCATCGTCATTTAGTTTCTCTAAGAGGATTTTGCATCGAGAAGCGTAAGAGGTATGATTTCTTTGTGTATCATGTCCAGGTGATTGATCCATCTGCAAACAAAACTAAATGCTTTTGCTTCGTGGCAGGTTTCTAATGTACGAATACATGCCAAATGGAAGCCTAAAGGATCATCTTCATTGTATGCTTCTCCATTCCTTTATTCACTTCTCTAAAGTTCCATATTATCCATAAATAGGTTTGTCAAAGGGTTCTTAGGAGTAGTTGGAAGTTAGTTGCACTATTTTTGTTTGAAAAAAGAATCTGCCTTGCATTTGAAACTGTTTTAACTTCTCTGATAATTATATAACAAATTTGTATGCTTAAATACAGTAGAAGGAACACTTTATCAACTGCTTTCCAGTGTTTTTTTTTTTTTCTAGGTTCATCATTGTTCATTGCATGTTTAAATGGTTACAATCTTGTATTGTGCAGCCCCAGGACAAACCCCACTGAGTTGGCAGACCAGAATACAAATTGCCATTGATGTCGCTAATGCTTTGGTAATAGTAGTTGATTCTGTTGTTTTTAGGATTTACATATTTTTTATACAAAATTATCTTGCTAAACCAGTTTTGTTTAACTCATCTGTCATTATCATTTGCAGGAGTACCTTCATTTTTATTGCAATCCACCTCTGTGCCACAGGGACATCAAATCGAGCAACATTTTATTGGATGAGAATTTTGTTGCAAAGGTATTGCATCTGTTAAAATGCTCAGTTTGTTGAACTGCCACTTGAATGTAGGTCTCATGTATACTACGCACCCCTGTATGAAATTCGAAAAGTTCCCTCCGGAATGCCGATATAGAAAGCTGAAAGCTGATGAAAGAACAAAAGGCCATTGTAAAACTTTTTTTTTTTTGATAAGAAATACAGGCCTCATAAGAACCCCCTTCTTGACTAATGGAACTTTTGAGAAAGTTCCTTAATCAGTGAAGGGAGGAAAAGAGTGCCTTAGGATTTTATTTCTCAAGAGAAGATAGTACATAAGATACACCCCACAGACTGACTAATCACCATAAAAAATACAGACCAATTATCACAACCAGCGAAACTACCCCATCCCCTACAACCACAATAACCCAAAACCCCATTGAATGACCTCTAAAACTATGAAGTGTGATCAGCCAATCCCCTGTTTCGCTAAGGTATCAGCCTCACAATTACAATTCCTCGGAATATGTCTAATAATGACCGCCCTCTCCGAGATTAAGGACGCAATTTTTAGAACCAGTGCCCTAAAGAAAGGAGGAGAAGAAATCGGTTGTAAGATCCAATCCACCACTGTCTTACAATCGCTCTCAATAATTAACCTTCCTTGAGTCGCCCATTCCGACGAAAGAAAAAATTCAATGCCTTTCTCTATTGCTTTCATCTCAGCTAATGGAGGAGGACCTGGACCAACAGCAAGTGAGAAAGACCCAAGGATTTTGCTTTCCGAGTCCCTTAAAATACCCCCCATTCCCCCTAACAGGCCGTCCCCACTAACCGCCCCATCAACATTAACCTTAAAAAAATGTAGGGGAGGAGGAAGCCATTCCTGAACCTTCACCCTTTTATGGTGCCTTGTCTGGTGCTTGTCTGCAAGCGACGGGTCTCCAACAAGAGAATCAACCTGAATGAAATCATTTGGGTATTTAGCAAGGAATCACTTAACCAACCTAAATCTGCAAATGAAGAAAAGATTAGGTTTGTCCAGTTTCCCATCATCAAAAACCACCGAATTTCTAGCCTTCCATAGTGACCAAAGAACTACCCCCGGTATAAAGGCCCATATTAATGACTTTGGCCTTAAATCCGACCAGGAACACAACAAAGATGCTGGATCATTAGGTAAAACTGCCGAGACTCCCCATAACCTCCAGAAACTGCTCCATAACTCCCATGCAACCTGACACGAAATAAACAAATGCTGAACTGTTTCCTCTTGCTTAGCACATAACGGGCAAGACACCTCCTCCAACGCTACCCCCCTTTTTATCAGCTCCGATCTGACTGCCAGTCTTCGATGGGAAACCTGCCATAGGAATGTTGCAACTCTCGGTGGGGCCAAACCTGACCAAACGAATTTCTTCCAAATGAGACTGCCCCCTGAGTTAGAAGAAAGTGTCAACCTGCAGGCTTTAGCCGTAAACAATCCAAGACCCTTTCCCGACCATGCCAAAAAATCATCCACCGATTCCGATAGCCCAACATTCTCCAATAGTGTCATCAGTCGAATCCAGTGCTCCAACTCCCAGTCACATATATTCCTTCTCGTATGAATGTTCCAAATCCACTTATTGCCTATTGTACTTCCAAACTCTGAAACTTTTCCCCACTTATTGTTGGATAGAGCATATATTCTTGGAAATTGACTTTTTAAGGAGTCCTCATTTAGCCACACATCATGCCAAAATACAATCGACTTTCCATTACCTACTTGAATCTTCGAGTGTGATCTTAAACCATTCCCAATTGCGTCCTCTGCCAAGTAATTTCTTGTAATCCCCTTCCATATCCAAGAATCCGAAGGAGAGATTACCTTGTTAAGGTCTAAAGACATAGTACTCGCATTGTGAATACTACAAATCATGTTCTTCCATAGTGAGTCTTTCTCATTAGCGAATTTCCATACCCATTTGCCAAGTAGTACTCTGTTAGCAAAGTTCAAATCCAAGACTCCCAGCCCACCCTCCTCTACGGAAAGGCAAACCCTTCTCCAGTTCACCCAGTGAATTCTGCTTTTCGAAGAACCCTCCCCCCACAGAAAGTTTGCCATAATAGAATTTAGTTTCCTATAGACCCTACTCGGAATTCTGAAAATAGAAAGGAAAAAAATTGGCAGGGAGGATAAAACTGATTTGATCAACACTAATCTCCCCGCCATAGAAAGTGAGGAAGCCTTCCATCCGGCTAGTTTCTTATTGAAACTGTGTATGACTGGCTCCCAAAGAGCCTCTGAGTTCCTTTTTGCACCTACTGGTAACCCTAAATACACTACTGGAAAAACCCCAACAGCACAACCAATCTCCTTAGCCCATTCATTTAATACCTCGCCCTCCACATTGATTCCATACAGACTACTCTTCGACATATTCAAATGGAGGCCAGTCATTATGCTAAAAGTTCTCAGGACTCTTTTAATATTGAGGATGTAGGTAGTTGAGTCTCGGCAAAACACAATCAGGTCATCCGCAAACTGTAGGTGAGTTAGACTGAGGGCACCCGACCTTCCAAAAGTAAATCCCTGGAAAAATCCCATATCCGCCGCTTTCATCAACATACGATTTAACAGTTCCCCCACTAAGTTGAACAATAGAGGAGACAAACTACATCCTTGCCTCAGTCCTTTGGCCATCGAGAACTTCTCAGTAGGTGAACCGTTCACTAATACCGATATCGACGCCGTAGAGAGGCAACATTTTATCCAGGAAACCCATCTCTCCCCGAAACCCATGGCTCTCAGTAATCTAAAAATAATTGGCCATTCAACCGTGTCATAAGCCCTCTGAAAATCAGCTTTGAAAACCACCCCTTTCAGCCCTCGCTTCCGCCAACTATCTATACTTTCATTTGCAATAAAAGCACAATCTTGTAATTGTCTCCCCGGAATGAATGCAAACTGTGAAGGGCTCACAATATCTTGGATCACCGAAACTAGTCTCCTTGCTAAAACCTTGGAGACGATTTTATAGAGACTGCCGACTAGACTTATAGGTCTGTAATCTTCAATACATTCCGGATTGCCTTTCTTTGGAATCAGAGAAATGAACGCATGATTGACTCCATGATCCCATGTTCTTCCATAGTAAAAATCCTCCATAAACTTCATAAGATTCCCCTTTATAATTGGCCAAACTTTCTTATAAAACCCCATTGTAAAACCATCAGGGCCTGGGGCTTTCGAGCTGTCCGAAGAAAAAATGGCCTCCTTTACTTCCGCTTCTGAAAAAGTAACCTCGAGGCCATTCCTTTGCTCTTCTTTCAATGTGTCAAATATCAGGTTCAAGTTGTCTACCTCTAGAAAATCTTTGGAATTATATGCTTTCTTGAAGAACTGAGAGACAGCACCTTTTATTGCCTCAGGGTCTGTCAACACCTCCCCATCCACTTTCAATTCCGAAATAGAGTTGAATCTGTTTCTGTTAACAGCACAAAGGTGGAAGAACCTAGTGTTTCTGTCTCCGTCTTTAATCCATTTCTGTCTCGACAATTGGAACCAAATACTTTCCTCAATTCTGTACAATTTCCATAGCTCATTTCTGGAGGATAGAAGCTGTTCCCAGTCCAAAGAAGATAGTCCACTTCTTTGTGCCTTAATTTCCAGATCATAAATTATACTCTCTAACCCAGTAATAGCCTCCGATATCCCCTGCTTACTTCTGGTTGGCCCTTCCTTAATACGTTTTTTGGTTCCTTTTAATAAATTAAACATTCTGCTTCCCCCTCTATCGTTAGCCTGATCTGACACAACATTCTGAACCATATCTACAAAGCCGTCCTCCTCCATCAAATAATTGAAAAACCGAAATGGTTTCGGTCCCCAATTCTTCCCATCTTCCGCCAATAGAATCGGGTTGTGATCAGAAAGAGATCTGGGGAGAAGTTTCTGAACCACCTTGGGGAAGCAACTTAAGAAGCTGCTGCTCAACAAGAAACGATCCAGCCTAACCCATGTGGTAACCTCTCTATTACTACCCCAAGTAAAGGTGCCACCTACCAAAGGGAGGTCAATTAGATTTGAATTTTGTAGGAAATTCCTTAGCAGGCCCATTGAATGCCGGTTTTGAGAGGCACCAATCTTCTCCTCTATTTCGAGATAAGCATTGAAATCTCCCCCAATGCAGAGAGGCAGATCAACCGACTGCACAAAACTCAAAAGCTGACTAAAAAACTCCTCCTTTTCTTCCTCAACCGATGGGCCATATACATTGATAAAAACACACACCGTCTTAGACACCTTAAACCTTCCTTTTAACATCTGGAATCTACTATGGTTGTCCACCTCATTTACCTCAAAAACTTCATCATTCCACAAACACATCAGTTCACCAGCGGACCCATCTGCTGGCTGAAAACTTGCTCCCTTTAATAGCTTTCCTCCTAACTTCCTCTGCAATCCCTTCTGACTTTTATTTAATTTAGTCTCCTGTAAAAACAATATAACCGGCTTAATCTTATTAACAAGTCTCGACACCCCTCTAATTTTTTCCTTCTTACCTAATCCTCTAACATTCCACGAAATAAGATTGCACTCCATCATATGCACTTCCTACCGAAACCTTCAGGACACCGAAACTAGCTCACTGACCTGCTTCATTAACCACCCCTGCTCCTTCCTCCATCCTTCTAATTCTATCCATGAAAGCCTCCTTCCCTTCCTTAAAAGAAATGCCTAAACTCTGACAAACTTCCCAAGTAGTCAATGCCTCCTCCAAAGCTTTAGAGAAGGACCGAGAATAGACTGTAGACACTTCTGCACTTGCCAAAGCATCTGCAATTAAGCCTCTTCTCTTCTTTCTGTACAATCTTCGACTCTTAGCAATAATAGACGGGTCTGCCCCCTCCCTGGTTGGAGAAGAACTGCTCTTCACATGCCCCGTAGAAGTATTCTGAATTTGCCCAGAACCTGCTAACTCCTTAACTTGGCCGCTATCCTTTGAAACTGAAGAGAATTGCTTAAAATTATGAAGAACCAGCCTGTTGTGACTGTGCTTATGGCTATTTTCTGAACACAGCCATACTCTTCTTGTTTTCGACCTTCTATACACCCTATCAATACGTCCACAACCCCTCACGCCTTCAGAATTATTGCTAATTGACAATCCTTTCGAAACCTGATATCCCACTCTCCATCTCTTACACTTCTCCCCCATTGGATTGCTAACAGCCTTTTTAGATCTACGTTCTTTACCATCCTTAGCCCACTCCTCCAATTCCTTGCTGTTTTCCTTTACCTCCTCCCCCCTGAACCTACTATTATCCACATATGTTTGGAAAAGAGTTTGGTCCTGGAAAATATTTTCATTACCCACAGGACAACCTTGGGCTGAAGAAATATACCCATTCTGCTCAGGCCCAATCTCCACATATCTGCCCATTTTAGGGTTAATCCCCCAGTCTTTAACACCTTTATCTTGCCCCGAGGATCCACCTCCCAAACTACGCAACCTATTTCTCTCAGCAGAAAGGGTTTCTGACACGTTCTTCACACTTTTAGCCTCACCTAGTACTGAACCCTGCTCAGTCTGGACAATCCCTCTAATATCATTGACTTCCACGTTTAAATTCAAATTGCCCTCAAACATCGTGTCAACCCCATGAAAGGCGCCTGACATCGACTGAAAATTCAACTGTCCTTGCAACTCTTCTCTATCATCTCCTTTGTTCCCTTCCGATTGAGTTTCTTCCCCTGGGCCGACTCGTCCTTCCACAGAACCGGCTTCCTCCACTCCATCATCCAGCTCCGGAAAAAACTCATCGCATCCTTCCACTTTGATTTTAATGATAAATGATCTGCCATATGTATTAATGACTACCTGGGACGGAATATCAAATGGACTTTCCACTCTTAACAGCAATTGAGCCACCCTGCAATCCATCTTGAGCAGTTTGATCCTGAATCATTACTAGCTTGCCCCATCTCTCTGCCAAGCTAGAAAAAAAGGAAACTGACCAACAGTTCAGAGGGACACCCATCAATGAAACTGCACAGAAAGATAAAGGAACACCCTTCTCCTCCATAACAGGCTCGAGCCTTTCGAACCAAAAGGACAGTGCCTCCCATTTATCCTTCACCGCTGCAGTTTTCTCTTCCACCGACTGAAAGACAATCAGACAGGCATTTTTCGCAAAACCCCATCTTACCACCTTGACATTGAAGCCCTCAGTCCTTAAACTTCTTTGCACAAGCTCCACCTCGAAAATATGCTTACATATACCAGTTAGAGATGATCTTAACCATGTTCTTTCTTCCAATGGAATATGCACATCCAAAGTCCTCTTACCCCCCTTCACATCGCAACCACTATACCTCTGCTGGTTCTCCATAATATCCCTTCCCACTACCGCCTCCTTGTAAGATCTTCCATCATGAAATTTGCTAAGCAGCTCCCTCTTCCTAGTCTCAACAAGACTTATTGATCTCTTCCCACTCGACTCCTTTTCTCTTTCCACTCCTGACCCCACTCTAGGAACTTGCTCACGGCCTCTCTGGACGCCTCTCTTCTGATATTTTGCAATCGACACCGATATTCTCCTGCCGTCTACCACAGCGTTATTCATCCTATCCTTTGCATTGAACAGATCCTCCTCACTTGCAAAATGCACAAAGGCGAATGTGTAGTTCTTGTACTTTGGCCTTCTATTAACAAACGGAATGAATACTTTAATCACCTTGCCGAAATAACTAAAACGCTCCCATAAAACACTTCTATGAACTCTCCTGCTAAGATTATCAATGAACGCTACCCATACTCCTTCGCCATGCAGCTCTCCGCCTCTGTCGGAAGAACCAATACCATTCACCACGCTCACTCTCTCACTAACTTTCTCACTCACGATAAGAGTTGTGTTCCCTTAAAAAAATTATTCAAGGCCATTGTAAAACTAAGAGAATACTTTGGGAGAATGAAACAATTTCTTAAGAAATTCATGAAGAAACCTTTCATATGAGATCTTCGAAGAACTTTTATTTTCTGGTGAAAGCATGTCTGCTTTTCCGTGTCCTCCAGGTTGCGGATTTTGGGCTTGCACATGCTTCAAAAGATGGTTCTATATGCTTTGAACCTGTAAATACCGACATCCGTGGAACCCCAGGTTAGACAATAAACCATTGCAAGTTTCAGCGTCTCATGTTTATTAAAGATCTAAACTTTAGATGACTTTCAGGTTATATGGATCCCGAATATGTGCTCACTCATGAGCTCACGGATAAAAGTGACGTATACAGCTACGGTGTGTTACTTTTGGAGATAGTGTCTGCAAGACGAGCTGTACATGATGGCAAGAACTTAGTAGAATCGTCGCAGATACTGATGGCATCAGAGTCAAGGCTACAAGACCTAGTGGACCCCCAAATTAAGGACTCCTTTGACTTAGACCAACTACATACAGTTGTAACTATTGTGAGATGGTGCACCCAGAGGGAAGGGCGAGCTAGACCATCAATTAAACAGGTCCTTCGACTTCTTTACGAGAGCTCAGATCCAATGCATAGTGGGTTTATACAAGCTGTTGAAGACGAAGATTATGAAGGTAGTGATGGAAGAGGAAGAACAAGCAGAGGCAAAATTCCTAGGAGTGGACCGTATTATCACAGTGGGGATGGAAGGCATCTTGCTTCATCTTCGAGTACATCAAGGTCATATTGTAGTAGAAGCTTTTTGTTCGAAACTGGATCACCGCAATCTCCTCATAACATGCTCTCTCTTTGACGCCAATCATAGGAGACAGTGTCCTTGATTCGTTTAAGCTCTCTTTGTGTGGTGTTTGTTATACATAATGTTCCTGTTGCAGAGCAAAATAAAGGCCATCAGGCTTGTTACTTGTACAAAAGGGAAACAAAAGGATTCAAAAAGAGATGATCCTATAGCTTTACAGTTTTTGTCTGCTCTAAATATTTTGGATAAATGAGACGTGCATTATTTTTGCTTGTAGCATTGATCCAGAGACAAGGATTTGCAGCCAATCATCGAGATGGTTCTTTATTGATTCAAAAACTAATAGATGATGATGCCTCAGTGGGATTGTTTTACACTGATTATCACATTCTAAATGCTGCTGATCTTTTTATCAAGGCAGTTTGAAATTCCATAGAGAAGTAAATCATTGTATTCTTGGTTTACCATCAAAACCATGTAGCATATGTATGTATTATGGTTCAGTAATATCAGTGGTACATGCGAAACTGCTACTTAATTCAATTTATTTTACTGCAACAGGAAGCTGATTTCCCGATCTAAACAGCCTTTTAACTGGTTTTCCGGTTTTGGGTCAAAAAGCGATTTTAAGGTCCAACTTCAGAATTCAGACCTCATACCAACATGCTCCCGGTCCGATTTCAGACATTTGTAGAGTTCAAAATTTTCACTACCAATATACCAAATAATAATGCATATAATAAAACGAAACAACTGTCCCATTTTCTTCTTGTCTTTTATTATCAATCACTCTTAACTCTGCTTCCCATCTTGAACAGAACATTTCTAGCTTTGAACTTCAAAAGCACAAGAGAAAGATTGTATAGATATAATAGTTTAAAGATTTAAGGTACCAATTTCACTTGTTAAAAATGAAGGACAACCCTTTACCAAAAAGGATCAAAGTCAAACCAAACATTTCCAGCTATGGTGTTAACAGCAACCAGCAAGATATTTAAGGATGTACAATTTATGCATTGATAATCCAGCTAACAACATATATAGGCAAGAAAAGCTGAAACCTTCACCAGAGATTCTAGTTACGCACTATATCATTGTTTACAACTTCAGAACCCTCTCTATGGCAGCTATATAGAAGTCCTTCGGCATGGTACCGACAACAGTCTCTCGTTTCTCTCCATTTTTGAACAGCAACACGACCGGTACAGCCTTAATTTCATAATCCTCTGCAATTGGAAAGTCAATATCGGTATTGAGAATAAAGCAGTTGAGTTTCCCAGCATACTCCCCTGCAATCTCATCAATAATCTGGTGAACCATTCTACAGGGGCCACACCAGCTTGCAGAAAATTCAACAAGAACAGGCAAATCGCTTTCTACTATTGATTTCTCCCATGTGTCTTTAGTAACAACTGCAGCTGTATATAAACAATAAAATGAAACAAGGTCAATTTAGCCTTCAAATTTTTTGTACCGTCATCCATAAGAGTGCTGCAAAACCCAAGCGGAAGAAACGCACTCAATATAGACATGCAAGCTTAAGAATTCATTATGGTTTAATACCGAAGCTCCTGAAGTTCACAAAATAAATTGATATCCCAAGTACAAAAGCTCTATTCCAGGCTGCTGGCAATATCTCAACTGAAGATATATGAAAATGTCAAAAAAACATCCTTAACATATGCAATTATAAGGTCACGAGAACTGACCATCACACTTTTCCAATATACTCATTTCTTTTTAGTCCATTATTTCAAACTTAAACTGTAGTTATAGATTAACTGGTGCTAGCAGGACGCTGGACATCACTACAGCAATTTTTTCAATGCTAGATCATATCCATTTTACCAAAGGAATCACCAATGAAAACTTAAAGAACACATATAATTAACCTTTACAGCGTGTGAAAATTTTCCTGGGATCTAATCTACCAGTATAAAGATACAAAAAAAGCCTCTAAACACCCAACCTATATCACTGGTGCCAAAGAAAAAGTAAATCATTCTTGGATTATCAAATATCCCATCCAATGCCAAACAGTTCACCATTCCAATCTTCCACACTTGCTCTTTAAAGAGGGCTTATCTGGAAGGAAGGGGAAAAACATTGCAAATAAGTGGTACAAGACATGCTAGGACTAGGAGCTGAAAGAGAGTAAGATCAGAGAGAATTTTGAAGTATAGAGTGCAGCAACAAGTGGAAGGAGAGTGTGAAGCAAGGCTACATAGTATGGAAGACAAGGTTGTGAAAGAAATTAGAAAAGAAAATATAACAGGGATAGGTTGTAAATATGCAAACAGATCAATTGGAGCATATTTAAAGTTTCAAGAATTACACATCATCAATATTGAATAAGAATAATAACAGATTGATTGTTATAATGTTCAAATTATTAGTAATAGTGAACAAACAACAATACACTGCATGTTCTGAAAGGATAGGAAAAATACTTAAATTTAAGAGAAAGATAACGAGATGACCTTTTAATTACCTTCATATCTGATACATTAAGCCAAACTCTCCTAAGCGTGAAATTAATGCAAAAAACCCCTTTATATTACTGGGCTACTTTTACTTTTCGTTTTCTTTTTGGTTAAGGAGTTTGTGAAAGAACTTCAGTAAAGTAAAAGTGAAATCCCTTCATTTCCTGTGATGAACCCCTTCACCTTTTACATACGAGAAAACAATTTCATACAAAGCATGTTTAATTGTTTATTAATCTTTAACCAGCATCTTATTTCCGATCAAAAACACCAGACATTGAGAAAAGTAACATAACATTCTCACAGTTGTAAACCAATTTGAGGTTTCAAATTGGAAGGCAAACAGATCTTAGAAGGCAAACAATATCCTAAAGTTAGTCGCTAGTGAGAATAACTAAGATCAACTGGATATTTTAACAAAGGGACACACATGCATCCCTTCTAATGGCTTTACGCTAGATTTTCATAAAATCCGGTAAAACTTTAATACCGTATCAACAACATAAATAATGTACCAAACAAGAATCAGATCAAAAGAAAACCCAGCGTAGTGAAAAAGTGGATCAAGAGATTACCTTTGGATTGAGGAGAAGAGAATGGTTTGAGAGTGAGAGGAGGGCGTTTAGGAAGGCTAGAGGAGGCAAATTTCAATGGAAATGAGATCCATGAAGAGCTGAGGTTAAAGGGGAAGTGGTGACGGCTGGTGGAAGCAAAATAAGAGGGAGTAATGGAAGTAGAAGAAGCCATTGAAGAAAGCAATAGAGGTCTGAATCTGTTGAAAACCACGGAAACCAAATCAATTGAGTTGCAAGAAATCAAATGGTTGATTTGTTTTTCCAGATCCCTCGCTTGCAAATTGTGGGGGGCACCTGAATCCAAAATCAGAAAAATATAATCGAATATATTATTTCCTAAATAATTGAGCTCATGAATGGTTTCATTTTTATTTCAAATCAAACTTAAGTGGAATTTAATTAAATTTGATTTTAATTTGGGTCAACGAAATTTAATTTAATTAAAAAATATTTAATTTTTCAAACCAACTTGAGTAAATTTTTAAGTTTAAATCTCCTTAATTTTTATAATTTGAATAACTAAAATTCAATAAACAAATCAGATGCATATTCTTATTAGATCACTGTAAATTTGAAAATAACAAATTGATTTTCCTCAATAAAATTTACAATAATATTCAAATTTAAAAAAATATATTTTTTTATAAATTCATTGAAAATATATTAAAAGTTCATATATTTGTATTTATTAAAAATTGAAACTCAAAATCAGAATGTCTAGCGAAAATTCTGCCCCTCTCTTACGGGATTGTTGCAACCCTCCGCCGCCTGTTTTTGTTTCCCTGGTACCTCCTCCGATCGGCGGCAATGCGTAGAAAGCGTACGAAGAAAAATCCTGATCCGAATATGAAAACAAGTGGCAATGATGCGAGAGGCTCTCGGTTTGCTATCTTAGGTGGAAAAAATAATGACATCGAGGAAGATTCTACGACAATTCCGAAGGTTGCAGTGGTTGAAACCAATAACAAGAATAGTCCTGGTCATAACTCTCGGATAAATACACGAGTAAAAGGTAAAGGTACCTGTTCGGCGGAAAAAACTAAGGAGATTCGGACATTAAAGCAGACGAAAAAGGAAAGTTCAAGCAATAGGTCAATGGAGGTTGGTGCGAACAGGCTGGAATATCCAGGTCGATAGGAAAAAGGTGGGGAAATTCGGATTTTACAGCAGATAAATGTGATAGCCATGAAGGACGGGGTTACTCCTCAAGTGACGGAATATTGCAATGTTAGAGCTGCAGGTAACCATTCGGCGGTCACCATTTTGGAGGACAGTTGACTTCATGTCGCAAGCAAGAGCATTCGGAATAAAAGAAATAAACGAGAGGTTGGGGATAGTTCTAAGGGACTGAAAGTGAAGAAGAAAAATAAAGATTTCAAATTCTCCTCGACAGGTTTCACAGATTGGTTGCGGAATGCAAAATTCAACACACATCTTGACCGAAACATGCTGCATATAAGAAGGCTCATCTTTCTTACATGAGAATGGAAGGGAGGAAGGAAACTCGCATGTAGTGGGATCGTTGAAAACAATAATAGAAGAGGTTAAATTACCAGATGGCGAGAACGCTAACCCGAATCTACCCCAGTAAGGGTGTGCTCTCGAATATTCTTTATTTAATGGTTAATATTCTCTTTTAGAATTGTCAAGGCACTGGTAGCCCAACTTTTAGACGTTATTTTTGGGAACGTTGTCGAGAAAATCAACCTGGAATTATTGCACTGCTAGAAACTCAAATTAGTGGAAATGTTACCGAGAAAGTCATCCGGACATTCGGTTTTCAGAATTCTTTTAGAGTTGAAGCTCTTGGGTTTAGTGGTGGAATTTGGATTCTTTGGAAAGATGGGTTAAATGTTAAAATTTTAACTATTTCGCCTCAATTTATTCACAGTAGATGATGGTCCGATGTTACAAATAGATGGTAATACTTTACTGTAGTTTATGCGAGCCCTCGAGTGGAGAAATGAAAGTTAGTATGGAAGCATATTATAAATCCTGATCTAGGCGAGTATGAAGCTTGGATTTTGGGTGGTGATTTTAATTCCATCTTTCGGCTCGATGAAAAGGAGGGATGATCATATCGTGGATCAGGAGTTAGTAACTTGTTTGCAGAGTTTGTGTTTGAGTTGGGGTTATTAGAAGGGAACTATCGGGGACTGAAGTTTACGTGGCGAAGAGGTAATCTTTATAAACGCTTAGACCGTTGTCTTATGAATAGTTTTTGGGCGGATGTTTTCCCAGGTACTAAGATGTTGCATCTAGACATGATGGGTTTGGATAATTTCCCCCTTCTCCTTAAAGCCCGGAGCACCACGAGAGTTCAGGGGAATCGGCATTTCCGTTTTATTGTTGCATGGCAAGACCATTTAAGAGTTTCTTGTCGGAAGCTTGGAATAATGAATTGGATGTTTTAACCAACATTAATTCATTTCAAATCAAAGCTATTGATTGAAATTTGAAGGTGTTTGGTCACATAGGGGAAAAAGAGAGTTGTTGGCCCGTTTACGAGGTATTAAAAAAACACTTATTTCTTGCTACTCTCGGAGGTTGGTTGATTTGGAGGACATGTTGATAAATGAACTTGAAGAAGTCCTAAAACAAGGGGAGAGTTTGTGGCTCCAAAAATCAAGAAATCAATGGATACTCCATGGGGATAAAACACAAAATACTTTCATGCATGTACGATGCTTAGGCGTCGACATAATTACGTAGGAGCTCTCAAGGCAACAGATGGTAGTTGGATATCGGATCAAGAAGTTCTTTGTTCTATAGTAATAAATTATTATAGGGATTTATTCACCAGTAGCAAGGTAGATGGAAATGTGTATCCGATTAAGGGTTGTTTTCCTGTAACCCCTGAGTCAGATTTGAGTGCTCTTACGAGACCGTTATTTATGGAAGAAATCCATGATGTGTTGTTTAGCATGAGCCCGCTAAAGGCACCTGGAGTGGGTGGCCTTCACGTTTTTTTCTACCAGAAGAATTGGAATACAATACAATATGGTGTATGTTGAATGATTCAGAATATATTTGTAGGAGGTGCTTTTGATAATGAACTAAATCGAACTCTTTTGGTGCTTATCCTAAAAATTAAATCACGAGATTCGTTTAATCACTTTCGACCTATTAGTTTGTGCTAAGTATTATATAAGCTAGTTACAAAGATTATTGTGAATCGGCTGAAACCTTTGATTAGTCATTGGATCTCAGAAACTCAAACAAGTTCTGTTTCTGACAGATCGATCACTGATAATATTATTGTTGCGCAAGGGGTAGTCCACTCCATGAGATTAAAGAAAGGTAAGATTGGCTATATGGCTATCAAAATTGATCTTGAGAAATATATGATCGTATTGAATTGCCTTTCATTGATAACACGTTAAAAGAGCTTCACATCCCGGATAATCATAGGATGCTTATCATGCATTGTGTATCTTCAGTCTCGACCCAAGTATTTTGGAACGGTGCTATGTTTGCATCTTTTAATCCGTCATGAGGGCTTCGTCAAGTTGATCTTTTATCACCTTACTTGTTTGTGATGTGCATGGAGAGGTTGGCGCATGCGATAGCTGGAGCGGTAAATAATGGTATGTGGAAACCTATTCACCTGTGTCGTAATGGGCCCACTCTCTCCCATCTTTTCTTCACAGATGATTTGGTACTCTTTGTTGAGGCTTCTATCGAGCAATGTAATATAATACGAGGAATATTGGAGTTATTCTGCAATTCCTCGAGCCAAAAAATCAATATCCTGAAAACTACTATTTATTACTCAACTAATGTGGACTTGGGTTTGAAAAATTCCATTAGTGCCTCTTTTGGCTTCCAGAAAGTTCAAAATTTGGGTAAGTATCTTGGAGTCCCTCTTTTACATTCTTAGATTACAAAATCTTTGTATAGTTATATTGTTTCGAGAGTCTGTGATAAGCTCACAGGGTGGAAGGAAAAATCTTTGTCCTTGGCTGGGAGAATTACTTTGGCAAAAGCAGTACTATCGAATATTCCTTCTTATTCAATGCAATCAACGATGCTTCCAAAATGGATATGTGATGAGATAAAAAAGTTAATTCGGTGTTTTATTTGGGTCGTACTGAGACGGAAGGCGGAGTACCTATTGTTCATTGGGAGAACATTTGCAAACTAACGGCTAAGGGTAGCCTGAGCCTGAGGAAATTAAATGTTCAGAATGAAGCTTTTCTAATGAAACTAGTTTACAAATTGGTAGTTGATTCCGATAAGTTATGGGCTAGAGTGTTACGCTCTAAATATAAGTGGGTAAAACTGGTCCTCGAGTCCATCAATTGCACGAGAAGTTCGTATGTTTGGAAGGGTATTTCTCAAGTATGGAACGAGGTGTGACAAAGCTTTTGTTGAAAACATTTTGATATTTCGATATAACAAATTAAGTTAAATGAATTTTAAGATTTTCCAAATGATTTTCTAAGTATATTCGATATAATTATTCGAATATCAAAACATTACTCAAAATATTTCTAAAATCATTTTTAATCCTTACTTAAGTGTAAAATTAAGTTTTAATCTTAAAACAATTTCAAAATAATCTTTCAAAGTATTTCGAACCATGTCAAACCCAAAATTTCCAGATTGCTCAGAGGGAACCGATTCCCTCCCATAGGGGGTACCGATTTCCCCCTGAATGGTTTGACTCCGAGATTTCCAGAATGCTCGGAGGGAACCGATTCCCCCATAGGGGGTACCGATTCCCCCTGTTCAACGGTCGAAATATTTGAATTTTACACTTAGGGAACCGATTCCCTATAAGGAGGAACCGATTCCCCCCACGCTCCAAGCTGTTTTATTAATTGTTTTCACACTAAAACGGCTATATTATCTTCATTAATTATCCCCAACGTTTAGAAGTGATTCAATGTGTATTTAAACAAGTTCTGAAGCCCTTGATCAAAAAGAAATTATAGAGAAACAAGAGAGAAAGCATCAAACACAAAGTTTGTGCAATTCAAGCCAATTTTCATTCAATATTCATTTTGCTTTCAAAGAACACTTATTGTGCTCATTTGTAATTTTCTTTGAGTGTTCTTTTCTTGTTCTAGAATTGTGCAAACATCTTACCTTGTGAGGTTTTCTTGTAAGTTTGCAAATTTGTAATCTTCTCTTTGGGAAAAAGAGTGTTCTCAAGAGTTGGGGTATACTCTTGAGGGATTTTGTAAGGTTATCTCTTTGGCCTCAAAAGAAAGAACAAATTAGTGAATTTGTTGGAAAATCCTTAGTGTGGATAGCTAAGGTAGTGGACGTAGACTTTGTTTGAGAAAGTCGAACCACTGTAAATCGCTGTGCAATTACTTTCAATTTTCTGCAAAAGCTTCCACGAAATTTTTAATTGCCAATTCACCCCCTCTTGACCGATTCCGTCGATCGATTAACTCAACAATTGGTATCAGAGCCTCACTCATTTGAAGGTTTAACCGCCTCTTGAGTAGATCCGGGAAGAGTTAAATCGATAAAGATGGCGTCCACTTCCGGTTCATTCTCCATGGAAGAATCCAGACCAATTGGCGTGCCTCCACACTTCAATGGAACAAATTATCGTTGTTGGAAGAGGTTCATGATGATGTTTATTCAAGCACATGATATGGAAGCTTGGATGATAATCGAGAACGTATATTCTTTTCCTACGAATAAGGTAAAGAAGTGGAGTAATCAAGAACGGAAGAAAGCTCAACAAAACACAAAGGCTATGCATATGTTGTGTTGTGCAATTGATCCTAATGTATATAAAGGAGTTTCTTCTTGTTCAAGTGCCAAGGAAATGTGGGATTAGCTTGAGGAGATCTATGGAGACAAGGAAAAAGAAGAACCAATAAAAGTGATGTCTCTATTAGCTCTCACAGAGCCAAAGGTATCTTCTAACTCAAATAGATTAAATTCAAAATCTTTTAGTGAGTTACAAGATGCTTATGATAAATTATTTTCGGAGTTTGAGACCATGAACTCCAAATACAATAAATTGATTTCTAAATTTATTACTAAAAATGATCTTATTTTGAAAGCTAAAAAGGACTTGGAAAATAAAAATGAAATGTTGAAAAAGGAATTAGAGCTTTCAAAAATAAAATCGGAAAACTTTGAAAAAGAAATTTTCAAATTAAACAAACTTCTTCTAGAAACTAAAATGGATTTTGAAAAACAAAATGAAATTTCGAAGAAGAATTTAGAGCTTTCAAAGATAAAATTTGAAAGTATGGAAAAGGAAATTTTCGATTTAGAAGTTAAGCTTGAATGTTTAACAAAAGAAAAAGAGATCATTTTAAATAATTCATCTAGTTCAATAATGACAATATGCTCACATTGTCATTATCATGGTCATAAGGAACATACTTGTCCTTTAAAGAAAGGAAAACGATTTAAAATTAGACAAGTATGGGTTCCAAAAGGAACAAGAGGCATTGAAACTAATGTTCAAGGATCCAAAGCAATTTGGATACCAAAATACACTTAAATGTCTCTTGTAGATGTGTGGGAGCAATGGTGATGAAGATGATGATATTCAAGATGCTCTAGCCACACATGAAAAAGGAATGGGTAACCTCTAAACTTAATGTTATTATTTTATTTGGTTGCTCATTTAGTTTGTGCATACATGAGGTTTTAAATATTGAATAATTTTTGATTTTGCATAATTGTTTTATTCTCATGTATGTTGAAAATATTGTTATGATGAACATTTTAAGTTATTTATTCTTCAGAATTTTAGTTCATCATAATAAAACTTGGTCAAAATTTTAACATAATTGATATTCATTTTAAACCATTGATATAAGTTTTCAAACAATTTGATTTTTGACCTTAAATTTTGTTTTAATGTTTATGCAAGTAATTTCAAAGTTTCAATGATATCTCTCTAAATCGATATCAATCTTTAATGCATAACATCTTTATAAAACTTTATGCATATGCTCTTAATTTTGATAATCAACATTGCATAATGGTTTATATGTGAATGGGTTAAAGCATAATCTTTTGAGTAATGAATTTGACAAAAGATACAATGTCTTATTTTCTTTTAAATTAAAAGTTTGCAAAATTGATTGACATTGCATCTATTTCGATTATGCTTATTGGTCATAAATAGGAAACATATACATGATGCATTTATATTTTATTTACATGACTATTTTTGTGCCTAGTTGCTAAGGATGAGCATGATAGTTGGTTATGGCATAGGAGACTAGGACATGCTAGTATGAGTGTTTTGCAACGGTTAATTCAAGGTGATTTAGTTCGAGGGTTGCCTAAGCTTAAATTTGATAATGATAAAATCTGTGATGCTTGTGCTAAAGGAAAACAAAAGCGTGTTTCTTTTAAATCCATTAATGACGTATCAACTAGTAGAGTATTACAATTGATCCATGTAGATCTTTTTGGGCCAACTAGGACTACTAGCTTGGGTGGAAAACAATATGCATTTGTCTTGGTAGATGACTATTCTAGATATACTTGGGTTCTATTTTTAAGTACTAAAGATGAAGCATTAGAACAGTTCATCACATTTTCAAAAATAATCCAAAATGAAAAGGGTTACTCTATAACTAGTGTTAGGAGTGATCATGGCACTGAATTTGAAAATCTTGGATTTATTGAATTTTGTAATTCTAATGGTATTAGTCATAATTTTTCAGCACCTAGAACCCCTCAACAAAATGGAGTAGTTGAGAGGAAAAATCGAACTTTAGAAGAAATGGCTAGAACCATGCTTTGTGAAAATAATTTGCCAAAATATTTTTGGGCGGAAGCCACAAATACTGCTTGTTATGTTGTTAATCGAGTAATGATTAAGCCAATTTTAAAGAAAACTCCATATGAAATTTTCAAAAATAAAAAGCCTAACATTAGCTATTTCCATCCTTTTGGATGTAAATGTTTTGTTTTAAACAACGGTAAAGAAAACCTTGGCAAATTTGATGCTAAAAGTGATGAAGGCATTTTTTTTGGGTTAATCCTTAAATTCTAAAGCTTATCGAGTTTTTAATAAAAGAACTTTAGTTGTAGAAGAGTCTATACATGTTTTTTCGATGATAATCCCCTTCCAAGGAAGGATTCTTGTGTGAATGATGATGTAGGTGTTATAAATACAAATGATGTTAGACATGAAGTTGGAGAACCATCATCTAAGGAAGAAACGAAAAATGAGGAAGCTCATGATCCTCTTGAGAATCCAACCATTGAAGAAAGGGAAGTATCTTATCCAAGAGAGTACAACTATGTCAAGGATGGTGAAATTATAGGTGATCCATCAAAAGGGGTAACAACGCGATCTTCTCTTAGAAATATTTGTAATTATGTTGCATTTATCTCATGCATAGAGCCTAAGAATATTAAAGAAGCATTAAATGATGAACATTGGATTATGGCTATGCAAGAAGAGTTAAATCAATTTGAGAGAAGTAAATTATGGACATTAGTTGAAAGGCCTAGTAATAAATCTACTGTAGGTACTAGATGGGTTTTTAGAAATAAACTTGATGAAAGTGGTAATATAGTGAGGAACAAGGCTAGACTTGTTGCTCAAGGCTATACTCAAGAAGAGGGCATAGACTATGATGAAACATACGCTCCCGTAGCTAGGATGGAAGCAATTAGAATGTTATTAGCATTTGCATGTTTCAATGAATTTAAATTATATCAAATGGATGTTAAAAGTGCATTTTTAAATGGTTTTATAAAAGAAGAAGTGTACGTGGAACAACCTCCAGGTTTTGAAGATTCAAATTTTTCGGATCATGTTTTAAAATTGACAAAAGCTCTTTATGGTTTAAAACAAGCTCCTAGAGCTTGGTATGAAATATTGTCAAATTTTTTAATTGAAAAAGATTTTTTAAAAGGAAAGGTTGACACTACATTGTTTTTAAAGAGAAAAGGTAAAGATTTATTAGTAGTTCAAATTTATGTTAATGATATAATATTTGGTTCTACTAATGATGTTCTTTGCCAATAATTTTCTAAGCTAATGCAAAGTGAGTTTGAGATGAGCATAATGGGGGAGCTCTCTTTTTTCTTGGGACTCCAAATCAAGCAAAGAAAAGATGGCATCTTCATTAATCAAGCTAAGTACGTCAAAGATATGCTCAAGAAGTTTGGACTGGAAAATGGGAAACCTCATAACACTCCAATGAGCTCTTCAACAAAGCTTGACTTAGATGAAGGAGGTAAATGTGTAGATGTTAAATTATATAGGTCAATGATTGGCTCTTTGCTTTATCTAACCGCAAGTAGACCGGATATTATGTTTAGTGTTTGCTTGTGTGCTAGGTTTCAATCATGTCCTAAAGAATCACATTTACTAGCTGTTAAGAGAATCTTTAGATACCTTAAGGACACTCCTAGTTTAGGACTTTGGTATCCTAGAGACTCTAGCTTTAGCTTGCATGCCTTTTCTGATGCGGATTATGGAGGATGCAAATTAGATAGGAAAAGCACCTCCGGTACTTGTCAATTCCTTGGAAATATGCTGATTTCTTGGTTTTCAAAGAAGCAAAATTGTGTTGCATTATCTACCACTGAAGCGGAATACATTTCAGCTGGTAGTTGTTGTGCACAAGTTTTATGGATGAAACAACAATTTTTTTTATGGAATTGAAGTAGGTACCATTCCTATCAAGTGTGACAATACTAGTGCTATTTGTCTCACTAAAAATCCCATCCAACACTCTAGAACTAAGCACACTGAAATAAGACATCACTTCATTAGAGACCATGTCACTAAGGAAGATGTAGTTCTAGAATATGTTGATACTTTGCATCAATTAGCGGATATCTTTACAAAAACCTTAGACAAGGAAATGTTTTTGACACTTAGAAGAGAATTAGGTTTAACTAACCTATCTTCACTTAGTGTTTAAAATAATTTAGCACTTTCAATAAATACTGAAAAATGCTTATAATAATAATTTTTGATTGCATTCTTGCTATTAGTTAGGGGGAGTTTATGATTCTTAGTGAAAATTAATTTTATGTTCAAATAATGTTTAAAGATTAATTTAATTGTTTGAACATAATTATTTTTCAATATATGAGTTGCCTATACCACTAGAGAAGATTAATTTAGCATTTTATGTGCTTAAAAGTCAGATTTTAGCATTTTGGTGCAGAGGGAATCGATCCCCCCATGAGGGAACCGATTCCCCCTTTGAATGGGAACCGATTCCCCCCACAGGAGAATCGATACCCCCCTAGGGTTCTAGTTAAACACGGGCAGAACCCTTATTTTTATTCAAAACCCTTTTCTTCCTTCACGCCGTTTCTTACCTCTACTCTCTCAAATCTCCATTCTTGCCTCAAATCAACGTTTTTAACCGGAATTCACTTCAAATAACATCCTCTAAACCTGTTGGAATCATCAAAAAAAAAGGTGCAAACTTCATCTAATCTCACTCAAATCCGAAATCCTTCAAGGTATTTTTTTTTCAAAACTTCTATTTCATCAATTTATAAACATAGAACTAGTTTTAATTAGTTCTAGGATGAACTTTAGATCGGGCATTAATTGTGTTTTGATTGAATTATGTTGTTGTTATGAAAACTATATTGTTTCTCAAAACCGTATTTTTTTTAAAAGTTTTCAAAAACTTTGCCCATTAGGATTGATTTAGAGAACCTTGAAATATTGAGGACTCAATTGAGTTTTGGGATTGATTGAATTACATACATGTGTTTTTTTTTTAAATTTGCAGGTTACATATTCTATTCCGATTCTTAAACCATGTCAAATCCTAAACGACCTAGGACATTGTCTAGTCGCTCAAGTCAAAACCGACCTCTTATTCCTCCACCCAATCCAAATAACCCAAATATGACCATTATGAACTCTTGTTTCAACGTACCTGGTTATGGACAAGATCTATACCATATGTACCATACTTGTATTGAGTCATATAAAATCTGGGAAGAGTGTATCCCTTCGATCCAAGCTATAGAAGATATGGACTTCCAATATCTTCCTACTCTTAAATCCTAGAAGTTTTATAAACTCTTTTAACTCAAACCTTTGGTTTATCATCAATTAGTCCGTATTTTTCTATTCCAATATGGTATGTGTCCAAAACGAGCTCCACTGAAACTATAGGAATTTGATCCTATCTTTTAGGACAATTCATTTTTATTGACTCCGGCACAATCGCTACCCATTTTGGACTAGATACTTCAGGTTTAATGAAAAAGGGACTGTGGATTCACCCTATAAGTCTAAGGATAGTGAGAGTACCCTAAGAACTCATCGTGATAGATTCCTTCATTATTTGATCTCTTGGTGGTTTAGACCATCCAGAGGTAGGTACTCCTCCCTTAGGAACATAGATATATGGTGGATATATTGTATCCAACATAAAAAGAAGATTTATCTACCACAGATCATTTTTAGTGAGTTTCCATAAACATTGTTCCTTCCAAGAATATAGAAATCTTGGTTTATGGTTGTCTCCTTAGTAATTTGTTTATCAAACTCGGTCTTTGGGTCAATGGGTTTATCGTCCCGAACTCAGGACTTTTAATTGTGAAACATTTTGATGTTCATGGATTGTTTTATTTTGCGTGTTTGAATTTGTTGGATAAATGGATATTTGAACTTATATGCTTATATATTTGGTTTGATTTTTCACTTTCATTTTAAGCTTAATGTTTATTTTTGCATCATTTACATATTAGTTGCATTATGACCAATTTTTGTCATTTCACATTAATTATGAATATTGATTATGAAACTAATGGCTAACGTTTCTCTTGCTTGTGATCTTAGCAGCTTATTTATATAATCAATTGGCTAACTGATTTCAAAACCTTGTTTAAATTCTTTAAAATGTCTTTTTGATTTAACAAAAAGGGGGAGAAGTGTTAAAGCGTTTTTAAATGATAAATGGGAGAAGTAAGGGGGAGTAATTTCAAAACTTGATTTCAAAATCTTAAAATTACTAAAATGTTTTTGTTATATCAAAAAGGGGGAGATTGTTGAAAACATTTTGATATTTCGATATAACAAATTAAGTTAAATGAATTTTAAGATTTTCCAAATGATTTTCTAAGTATATTCGATATAATTATTCGAATATCAAAACATTACTCAAAATATTTCTAAAATCATTTTTAATCCTTACTTAAGTGTAAAATTAAGTTTTAATCTTAAAACAATTTCAAAATAATCTTTCAAAGTACTTCGAACCATGTCAAACCCAAAATTTCCAGATTGCTCAGAGGGAACCGATTCCCTCCCATAGGGGGTACCGATTTCCCCCTGAATGGTTTGACTCCGAGATTTCCAGAATGCTCGGAGGGAACCGATTCCCCCCTGTTCAACGGTCGAAATATTTGAATTTTACACTTAGGGAACCGATTCCCCCACGCTCCAAGCTGTTTTATTAATTGTTTTCACACTAAAACGGCTATATTATCTTCATTAATTATCCCCAACGTTTAGAAGTGATTCAATGTGTATTTAAACAAGTTCTGAAGCCCTTGATCAAAAAGAAATTATAGAGAAACAAGAGAGAAAGCATCAAACACAAAGTTTGTGCAATTCAAGCCAATTTTCATTCAATATTCATTTTGTTTTCAAAGAACACTTATTGTGCTCATTTGTAATTTTCTTTGAGTGTTCTTTTCTTGTTCTAGAATTGTGCAAACATCTTACCTTGTGAGGTTTTCTTGTAAGTTTGCAAATTTGTAATCTTCTCTTTGGGAAAAAGAGTGTTCTCAAGAGTTGGGGTATACTCTTGAGGGATTTTGTAAGGTTATCTCTTTGGCCTCAAAAGAAAGAACAAATTAGTGAATTTGTTGGAAAATCCTTAGTGTGGATAGCTAAGGTAGTGGACGTAGACTTTGTTTGAGAAAGTCGAACCACTGTAAATCGCTGTGCAATTACTTTCAATTTTCTGCAAAAGCTTCCACGAAATTTTTAATTGCCAATTCACCCCCCTCTTGGCCGATTCCGTCGATCGATTAACTCAACAGCTTTGTTTGGAATATTGGTAATGGTTGTAATGTTGACTTTTGGAGGGAGGATTGGCTTAGTGATGTGAGACTTTTGGAGAGCTTTGTTGCTAATATAGCATAGAGAGCTAATCTTCCAAGGCACCCGATTTCTTCTATGGTGGATCATAATGGTCAATGGAGTTGGGAATTCATCATTGACAAGCTGCCGAACATCATTATTCAACGTCTGGCAGCAACAATGCCACCACAGAAAAGCTGTCAAATGGATGCACTGGGTTGGAAATAGAGCATTGATCGACAATTCTAAGTTAAATCAGCTTATGAGTTGAGGCAGAGAATTTTGAATGATGATACACATAAAGTGTGAGAGGTGATATCAAAGTATCAAGGACTACAGCGGATTAAAATCTTCTTATGGTTAATAGCGAACGATCGACTACTTACTAATGCGGAGCGAGTACGACGACATATGGCCACAACTAATAGTTGTGGAGTTTGCGTACAGTCAGGTGAAACATCAAACCATCTTTTTCGCGAATGTCACACGTCTATGGCTATTTGGTCATCATTAATTAAAACTGAGAAGTTAAAGGATTTTTTTACAAGGGATTTTATAGATTAGATGTAAATCAATATCGTTTCCCTGGGGTTTTATGCACGTGAGGAAGGTGATTGGGACTTACTGTTTGGTTCAATTCTTTGGTTGATCTGGAAGAATCGGAACAGAAGAATCTTTGATCCGGATTATTTTGAGCATGAGTCCGTACTAGAGAAGAGCAAGCGACTCACTCTTGAAGCTACCCGTGCAATGGAATCGTCTTTGTCAACGATTCAGCCTTCTCATCGTTCATTTACTTTGTCTGATGCTTGGCATCCGCCTCCTCACAATTGGTGTAAGGTTAATACTGATGGGTCCCGTAACATAGGAAACAGATTTGAACATGTGGGGATGTTATTCGATCCTCGAATGGTGGTTTGATGCTTGGATTCTCAAAAGCAATCGGAATATATTTTATAGTTGAAGCGGAGTTATGGGGTATCCATGA